ACCCGCGCGCGTTCCTGCGGGCTGGCACAGCCCACGTCGAAGCCGTGTGCATAGCCCTGCTCCGCCAGGCAACGCGCAGCGCGGAGCTGGGAGTCGCCTGTGGCCTCGGGGTCAGCCGCCAGGCCCATGAGGCCGGCCAGCCTCCCGGCGCACGCCTCCTCCTCTTCCTCCTGCCCCAGCTGCCCGTACACATGCGCCAGATTGGCCCAGGCATTAAGGTTGCCGGGGTCCTCGCCGACCACCTCGAGGAAGCGCTCACGGGCCTCGTCCAGCTCCTCTAGGTAGAAGGTGAAGGCGCCCAGGAGGTGGCGCACGGCGGAGCGCTGCGGGGCGGACACTAGCTCGAGCTCCTGCCGCAGGCCGTCCAGCTGCAGCTTCAGGTCTCGGGCGCGGAGCGAGGCTGGAGAGCGCGGCTCGAAGTTCAGCTGCATCTCCAGGTGGAAGTGGCCCGGGAGGTAGTCCAGATCGTCAATGAGGGCGTCCAGGTCCTCGGCCGCGGTCTCAGGCTCCGCCATGTCTGCCCTGCTGCTCCCGGGGCCTCGCCCTAACCCTGGAGGCTGCGGAGGGCCGTGGATGGAGCGCCTCCCGAAGTGAGCCCCGAGCGGGAGGCGAAGGTCAACGTTCAGGGGCCCAGGGCGCAGCCACCTCCTGGTCCCGGAGCGCCTCCAGCCTGTGGGTGGGTCCGAGCGTCGGCCCAGGGTGCGCCCTGTGGGTGTTTCCGCTTTCGCTGCTCAGCGGCTCTTAGACACCTGCATTGCACAACCAGGTGTGCCAGACAAACAGGTGCATTGCCAAATGAGGGGCTCGTAAATCCTGGTGCATGACAAAAGGCGTGTTTTTACTTTCTCTGCTGAGGAAACTGAGGTTCAGGAGGAAAAGGACTTGCTGAAGTCACAGAACTGAGATGGGCCCAAGCAGGTCTGGAACCCAGCCAAGCTCTTCCTCCGTAGACACTGCTCCACCCTCCCGCCTAGAGCTCGCTGACTAGAAGAGTCAGAACTGGCACTTCCAGCTGCCTACAGAAGCCACTCTCACTCCTGGTGCTGTCCCACCCTCACCGCAATTCCTCACTGTTCCTCTGAACAGGGGGACACTACCCGCCTGCTCTTTGGCCATTGTTGATCAGGCTTCCCACTTGGGATTTCTCTGCCTCCTCTCTGCCCTGCAGTTGTCCCTGGTGGAAAGACTAAGGGGCTCCGGGTGCTGGTTCTAATGTGGATTCTCGTTGCAAATAATGTGTGATCCTCATAATTTCACACTTCAGACTTGACATAAGGGTAACATCCTCTTCCCCAGGGGCAGGGTTGATATCATGAGTAAACCTGGTATGTGTCACTCTGGATAACTGTCATTCCTCCCCCTTGTTTCCTAGTCCATCCTGCATCTCCACCTGTGGCCTTGAAGGGTATGGGTCCCCTACACTCTAGAAGGCTGGGCTGTGCTCCCTGCTGCGAGGCTGCTTGTCCCTCAGTGCTTGGCTTTTTTTTTTTTTTTTAAAAAGTCTGGACTTAGAGTCCCTCCTGCCTATCATTCCACTGGGGCTCCTGACACCCTGCTGCTCCATCTTTTTGAAAAACAGACCAACGTTTTCAAAAGAGGAAATACAGCCAATTAGTAAACTTGTTAAAAAATATTTGACTTGAACAATAAAGAAGTAAATTAAAACAGCATTCTGGTGCTATTTTTCAAATGTAATTTTAAAATATAAATTTAATAATTTTTAATAAAAAATTGTCACTATGAATCGCTGGTGATCATGAGATGACACATGGGCTCTGACCTGTTTGGGAGGATCAGGGATGGAGTCTCAGAGAGGTTTTTTTTTTAAAATTATGATTACATATACTTAGTATAAAATATACTATTTTGACCATTTTTAAGTGTGCAGTTCAGTAGCATTAAGTATACTCACATTGTTGTACAGCAATTACCATATCCATCTCCAGAACTTTTTCATCTTTCCTAACAGAAACTCTGTACCCATTAAAAAATAACTCCTCATTCCTCCCTTCCCCAGCCCCTGGTAAGCACCATTCTACTTCTGTCTCTATTAACTTGATTACTTTAAGTACTTCATATAAGTGGAATAATATAATGTTTGTCTTTTTGTGTCTGGTTTATTTCAATGAACATCATTTGTCAAGGTTCATCCATGTTGTAGCATGTGTCAGAATTTCCTTTTTAAGGCTGAATAATATTGCATTTGTATATATATTCCACATTTTCTTTATCCATTCATCCATTAATGGACACTTGGGATGCCTCCATCACTTGACTATTGGGAACAGTGCTGCTATGAACATAGCAATTCCTTTGGGTGTATACCCAGAAGTGGAATTGCTGGGTCATATGGTAATTCTATGCTTAATTTTTTGAAAAACTGCTATACTGTTTTCCAGAACAGCGGCATCATTTTACATTTCCGCCAACAATGTACAAATATTCCAATTTCTCTACATCCTCACCGACACTTGTTATTTTTTCTGGTTTTGTTTGTTTGTTATAATAGCCATCCTAATGGGTGCGTTTGGCTTTTGATATGACTCTGAGAAGATGAGTAGGAGTTGAACAGGGAGGGTAGGTTGCGAGAACCTTTCAGCAGTAGGAAAGGCATATGGAAAGACCAGAGGTTTGCAGTGTAGACTGTGCCTCAGACCAGAGCAGCCCCATATAGCTGAAGCATGGGGAAGAGATGGCAGGAGATGAGGTCTGAAGTCAGTGGCCACAGCCCTATCACAGAGGCCCGAATCCTGGCTGAGAAGATTGACTTCATTCAATTGACGTAACAGATGACTCCAGAATCTGGATGACTTAGAAACTCTTGCAGCCAGGGAGCTCTCAAATCTAGTTATGAGTTCCGTATTCATTGTGTGCTCCTATACCTCACTATATGTGACCAGGGCAAGTTACTCTCCCTGTCTGAGCCTTAGTTTCCTCTTCCATATAATGGAGATGAGAAGAGGTTGTGGCATTATCTACAAGAGAGAAAGAGTTCATTTCTATGATCAGTGAGTTGCTGCGATGAGGAGGCTGTGGGCTAACTAAGGCAGGCTGCCTTGCCGCAGAGCTGACCCACCCTGGCCTGCTGTGGTTTGCCTGGCATCCAGAACTCCCAGCCTAGTGGACTTTGGCCTATATCCTGCAGTCACTCCTCCATGAGCCCTGCAGCCAAAGGGCTCAGGCTGGGACAAAAGCAGCAAAGCAGCCCCGGGCAGGTGTGGGCCACCGTGAGAGCACCTGAGCAGGCCCGGGGCTGGTCTCAGGGCTTCCCCATGCATAGGACTTGGTAGTATACACAGCCACATCTCACTGGCACCTCAAAACATCTCCTCAAGGAGGCTGCAGTCATAGGTCCATGTGATAGATGAGGAAATTGAAACTTGGCCAAGGCCACCATCTAGGAAGCAGCAGGCCCAGGATTTAAATATGAGTCTGAGGATTTATGGACTCCTGGGAAGTTGGACTAGATTCATTTATTTGTTCACATGCTACTCAACAAATATTTACTAAGCATTTACTGTGTGCCAGGTACTGCAAAGTAGTGAATGAGACACAGTCTCTGCCCTGGGCCTTCTGAAGGTCCCTTTCCTAGGTCATGGAATGGTCTCTTATTGAGCTTCCATTACCTGCCAGGAACATACTAAAGTAGCTCATTTAATCCTCACAGAAATCTGGAGAAACAGAGCTTATTAGCTATATTTTACAGGTAAGAACGTTGAGAATCAGAAAAGGAAGTGACTTGCCCAAGGTCACGGAGTTGGGAAGGTGCAGAGTCTGTGCTTGGATGACCCGGAGTGTCTATTCTGTGTGTATTCCCGAGGCCTGACACTTCTGACTATCAGCTCAGCAGTGCAGAGTGGACGGTCTGCCAGCCATGGCCATGTGCCTGCCTGACCTGGTGCCTGAGAGTCATGACCTTGTTGGGGGTCCAAACTTCCTATTTAAATGTTATATTGGGATGTCAGAAAGCATTGGGTGGGGCCCAAAAAGAGACCCACTGTCCCAGCAGTCTGGTTCCACCACAGGCTGGATGCAGGACCCAGAAAAAGTCCTGTTTCTCTCTGACTTCAGTTCTGTCATCAGCAAATGAGACATGTCTCTCAAGCTATACTAGATGAAGGAGGAGGAGGGATGAGAGCTGACCTGTTGGGGCCACATACGCTCAACTCCTTTCTCTACTTAGCAGGTCATACACACACTTCAATGATGAGTTTGGTATTCTCCTCCAGGAAGCCCTCCCTGACCTACCCATCCACAGGCTAGGTCAGAGACTTTCCTCTTCACAGGCCTGGTCACACTATGTAGTCACTGTTTCCTCCACTAGACTCAGGACTGGGAGTCCAGACACCTTGTACGGCCTCTGCAGAGTGAGTGTGCGCATGTGTGTTGGGGGGCAGGGCGCATCTGGGGATGATGATTCCTGATTCCATCCCTGCAACCCTTCCCTGGTCTCTGCAGCCTTACTCCTGCCCTCCCCATTGGCTCTCCTCCCCTCCCCAAAGTGGAAGCCGGCACCCTCTTTACCCAAGTTGAGTCTTCTGTGGGCCTCAGTGTTCCAGGAGCATAAGGGGAAATTAAGAGGCATTTCTTGAGCAGCGCTCTACCTGGCGCGTTGCAGGCGCAGCGATAAAGCAAGAAATCAGAAACCGTTCCTCAACAAGTGACTCTAAAATCCGACCAATGGCATCCACCACGAGGGGCCCACCACGAGGGGCCATTAAATCTGTAGGCCCCAGGAAAGGCTCTCTGGCAAAGAAGTGGTGAAAATGTGCGTAGAGCAATGAAAAAGTCAGGGGACAGCAAAGGCACGTTTATGAGGGTGCCACGTGGGCACAGACGCGGCCAGGGTCCTCTGGCCATTCACAAATCACAAGGCCCGGTTGCCGTGGCAGCAGCGGAGGCCGCACGCCAAGCTTGTGCGGAGGAGTCTGCAGCAGGAGTCCGGCGAGGAGGGGTGGAGGCCCAGCCCCGGCAGGACCTCGCAGCTGGGGGTCGGTGCCATGGTCATCAAGTCTTTCAGCGGGGCACCCTTTGGGGTGCAGAGCCACAGGTGTGGCTGGACTCGGGGCTGGAGGAGGAAGGGCTGGACCCTAGGGGAGGGTGGAGGGGCCGCTGGCAGTGGGATGGGGGACTGGACTTTCTCTCCCAGTCGGACCTGTTGCATTCCCATGCCCGGAGTCTATTTACCACTGTTATTAAGTTATTTAAAACCATTTCAAAAGAACCTGCAAGGTATCAGACTCAGAGATGCCAAGTGGCTTGGCCCATAGTAGGTCCCTGAGTTCAAAAGTCGTGGGTAGAATTCCAGTCCAGGTTCTTTCTTTATTCATTCACACATATGACATTGAGATATCTATATATATCTATATCTATCTATATCTATCTATCTATCAATCTATCTATCTATCATCTATCTATATCTATATCCTAGCATCTATCTATATCAATCTATCTATCTATCTATCTATATCTATATCTATATCTATATCTATATCTATATCTATATCTATATCTATATCCATATATATATATACAACCTATTATATATATAGCCACTTCCTATGTGACAGACATAGTTGTAGCGTCTGGAGATACAACAATGAACAAAACAGCAAAACCTTGTACTAAGAGTTTGCATTGTTGTGGGGAGGGATGGTTGGAGTGGATAGTAAACAAAAAAAGTAAATAAAATGTTGGATAATGATAAAGGCTATGGAGAAAAAGTTGAAAGGAGGAGCTGGTAAGTGCTGGAGGGCGGGGTAGGATTAAAGGCTCCCAGCAAAGGGGAAGGGACTGGGCAAAAGTGGTGTCCAGGGAGAGGGAACCAGGAAGGATGAAGACCCTAAGGTGGGGGCACACCTGCCCATCCTTCATGGGCTAGCTCCAAAGCCATCTTCCCTAACCCCCAGAACTGCCCATGCCAGGGCTGGATGTCAGGCACTGGACTCTCACTGGGCCTCTGTCCTTCCCCAGGTTCGATATGGCTGCTGTTTATCCCAACCAGAAGAAGTTGAGCACCTTTACGGGAGTCCCATACTCCAAGCCTTATTCTGTGGAGTTGGTGAGTTTGGCCAGCTCCACTGACTCTCCCACGTGGTCTGGTCACTGCCCTCCAAGTCCCACACCGTGGCAGATGAACTGAGTCTTACACCTCTCCATGGCCTTAGTTCTCAGCACAGAGCTTGGTTTACAGCCAGGGCAGGACTGTAGTGAAAACAGCATGGGTCGGGACCACAGAGACCCGGGTTCCATTCCCAGCTCTTGCACTGACTGGCTGTGGGCTCTTGAATGAGTTACTACCTCCCCCACTCGGCCCCTGAAGTGTGAGGGGGCCAATGACAGAGGAAGTCATGATGGTACTTTGAGTACCACGCCCCTCGGTGCCAGGCTTGGGGATGGAACCACAGAGGGACAGGTCACCCCTAGGTCAGGATGGGAGCTAGGTGAGGGCTTGCTCTGTGGCTGGCTCAGCCCTAACTGTGCTCTGACTCAGTCCCACATAGGACCTGGGACCTATGGCTACAAGGAGACCTGCTTCAGCAAGAAGAAGCTGATGAAGGAGGTGGGCACAGGCTGGGCCAAGGCCCAGGAAGCCACTCGGCTGACCAAGCTGCCCCACTTTCAATACCAGGCCATCTTGAGAGAAAAGCAGCTGCAGGTGAGGTCCCTGGGCCACGCCGCTCTACAATCCAAGGGTGGCCTCAGTGTCCTCCCAACCCCAGGTAGAGCTCATTCTTTAAGGAACACCATCGTCCCCTGGACCCCTTTCCCATGTGGACATCCTCAAGTTTAAGATTTTCACCTTCTCTCTTCTCTTGGGGCAGAAGGAAAAGCTGGGGCCTGGCTCCTACAACTTCAAAGACTTCTTAGAAGAGCTGCAGCAGAAACCGTGCAGCACCCGGGGGCTGCTCAGCTCTGGGGAAGTTCGCTTCCGAGGATTCATTGGGGTAGGTGTTCTCTTGTAAGGAGTGGGAACCCTTCCACCCTCTGCTCTCTGTCCCCTTTGGTGGTGCTGGAAGCACCCCTTTTGTCTCTTCCCCTCCCCAGGCTTGGCCAGGCTCTCCTTTGAGTCCTGACAGCCCTTGGCTTTCCAGCGCCACAGCCTCTAGCCCACTGGCTATTGTATATGCCTGTGTCTGTCTCCCCCACCAGACCGGAAGCTCCCTGCTGGCAGAGATAGGTCTTGTTCATCTCTGAGTTCCCAGCACAGAGCCTGGCATACAACAAATTCATCCACCTATATATCCAGCTAGCCAGCCAACAAATAATGATGGAGCATTCACTAAGTGCCATGTGCCATTGTAGCTCCCGGGGCCCCAGAAGTGATGAAGACAAAGTTCCTGCCCTCATGGAGCTGGCATCCTAGTGGTAGAAATAACAGTCTAAAGAAGCATGTTATATATTATCGGGATTGCGAGGAGAATTGAGACAAGGAAGAGATAGAGAGTGGTAGAGATACAATTTATAGGGTGATCAGGGAAGACCTCTGGGAGGAGATGACATCTGAGAGAAACCCGCAAGACGTGAGCAACTGAGACTCATGGTGTCTGCGGGAGAGCATTCTGGGCAAGTGGGAACGGCAGAGGCTAAGGCCTTAAGTCAGATCATCCGGCAGAGGCCGGTGCGGCTGGAGGGAGGGGAAGAGAACGGGAGGAGGAATGAGAGCAGAGGCCTGAGGGCTGGCTACGAGGATCTTGCAGCAATGTGGGGGCTTCTGGTTTGATTCCAAGTGCTGTGGGAGGACAGCGGAAGGTTTTGACCAGAAGGGCCTGACTTAACTTTCAGAGACGCATCCTCCTTATGTGGGTGAGCGTCGGAGGCTGCAGCAGGCGTCCAGGTGGGAGACGATGGCTGTGAGAGGTGGGGGTGGCAGGAGGGCTGCGATGGTGTTGGTGTGGGCAGGGAGGATCATCCCATGGAGGCGTGGACAGTGAGCGGGGTTCAAGCTCAATAAGGTCATGAGAGAGAAGGCAGGAGTCATATCATACCAAGTGACCGCTGTAGTTTGCTGAGAACCTCACCTCCCCTGGTCCTCCTGTTCTCTGAGCTGGACTCTCTTGCCCTTCTCTCAGCATCTTAAATGAGCCATGCTCTTTCAACTAGGGCTTTGCTCCAGCTGTTTCTGCTGCCAGAAATGTTCCGCCTCCCCAAGTAGCTTTTTGCCTAAGGAAATCCTACTCAGCCTTCAGCTCTCAGCTCCAAGGTCTGACCTGATCCCACGCCACCCCTCTGGCCCCAGGAGGTGGCATCTCTCCTTCTTAGATGTTTAGTGTCTCTCCCCCACTAGACAACAGCCCCTGAGGGTGGACCACACATCTGCCTAGTGATTCCACTGCAGAATTCCCAAATCCTAGTAGTGCCTGGCACATAGTAGGCATGCAGTAAGTATCTGTGGACTAAGTGCACGCATACCAGGTGCTCCAAAACATTCTCATTTTTCACAATCACTCCTGTTGAGGCCCTGAAGGCTCAGAGAGGGTAAGCAATTGGCCCCAGGCTGCACAGTTGCAAATGAGGAACGTCCAACCCCATATCCAGAGCCTTTCCTCCATACCTCACCACTCTGAAGCCTTCTCTGAGGCCTGGAAATTACTCCTTGCCACATTCCGGGAACAAGCACCTGCATCTTCAGGTACAGACGCTATTAACTGCAACTTAGGAAGAGGGGGTGCCTGGAGGCATTTAAAATTGAGTCATTACCATCAAATTTAAGGTAGCAATAGTTGACACTTAACACAGCACTTACCATGTGCCAGGCACTGTTCTAAGCACTGGAGTGTACTAATTAATCCTCACAGCAACCCTGTGAAGTAGGCACTATCATTATCTCCACTTTCCAGATGAGAAAACGAGTACAGAGGTTTCAGTAACCGCCCAAGGTCACAGAGCTACTAAGTGACAGAAGCAGAATTAGAATCCAGGTGTCCACACCTAACCACTGCGCTGTACCCATAAGCTTGGCTCCCCTGGATTTTGCTCCTTGACTAACTGCAGAGGACAGGGTCTAATGTCGGAGCCTAGCCCAGCTGAAGGCAGAGGAGTTTGGGGAACAAATCTGAGGCCGTGTGTTTCCTTCCTGTCCCCAGCCCCCAACTCTGAGGCATCCGCGAGTACTGGCTGAGCAGAGTGACAGTGCCATGGGCTGTTCCTCCCTTCCAGCTATCTCTGGTCCTTATCTCTGCTCCTGCAGTAACCTTGGGTAGGCCCTTAGGATTTCTTTGAGCTGCTCTCCTGGGGTCAGCCCTGGACCTTCAGTTCAAGGACGTGGCACTGCCCCAATGGGGGAAGACAGTACCCATCCAAGGCCTGCTTTTCTCTATCACTGTCTTGCTGTGAGACCTGGGCTGGAAAGCTCATGGCCTCCTCTGGTCTCTGGTCTCTCCAGTTGTACCCCCACCACTGCAGGTCTACAAATACCACGGGCCAAAGCTGTGGGTGCCTGCTTTGGGGCCTCATGACTCTTCCCTTAGAGAGGATGGGGCTGTCGAACCACACCTCCAAGGCAGTGCCTTCTCTGGTTTCCTAACCCCATCCTGCATTGGCATCGGGTGCTGCCCCCACCCTGCCTTCAGTGCTCTCTCCCCTCTCTCGGATTTGGGGACACCAGACTCCGCAGCCCTGGAGTTCCTCTGCCAGTCCCCCCACCCTCTTTGGGGTGATTTCTCTCACTCAGCTAGGCTCCGTGAAGATGACTCTAGATCTCTATCCTGGGGTCCCTCAGGCATCTTAAACTCTGCACCCCATCCAATACCACCACATGCCAGCGTCTCCTCCAGGCCTGCTCTTCAGGGGACTGGCACCACCCAGCTACCAGAGCCAGAAACCAAGCACACCTTGTTCCCCCGAAATCACTGGGGTTTGTGCTCTCACTTCCTGTCCTCCTCCTCCTCGTACCCTCCTCTTCCATTCCTACTGCCTCCACCCTGGCCCAGTCCACCCAGGCAGTCTCTCCACGAATTCCCTGGTCTCCTGCCATTGCCAGCATCTTCCTAAAGCCTTCACGCCTCAGAATCAGGTCTCAAGGAGCCTCGACGAGGCCTCCAGATCCTTTTCCATCCTCTTCCCATGGCACCTCTCCCAACCCGCCTCGAAGGTGTCATTTCGGCCTCCCTGCCTTTGCCCCTCTGCTTGAGGGACTTGCTCCCTTCACCACACCCATCTTCTGGGAACTTTCCCATTCTTCAAAGTCCAGCTATAAAAATCTTATAAGTACCAATACCTCTATTCCCACATACCTCTACTCCTAGAATTAATCACTCCTCCAGCCTGGGTCCCAAAAGCTCTGACAACATAACATTCTAGTTAAAATCATGGACTCTCACATCAGCCTAAGTGTATTTACTACGCCTTTGAACCTGAAGGCTTGAAGGAAGGGTGAGGCTCTGCAGAGAGCGCCCAGCACTGGGCTCCAGGAGCAGCGGCTACTCTCACTCTTTGTTATAACTGACACTTCCAAAGTCCCTAGGACGTTGTAGTGCTCATTGCCCTCCGACTGCAGTGCCCACATAGTGCCTGGCGAACAGGAGAGGCTCAGAAAGATCTTGAATTTTAGAATTGGAACTCTCTCCCTGTACCACTCCTTTCCAGAGGTGGTAAACTTGGATGCAAGGTTTGCCTTTCTGAGACTCAGTTTCTCCGTCTGTTAATTGCGGATAGCACTAATTTGATTTCAACTGGTGGTCTACTGCTGGGCCGCGGACCAGTACAGTCCGTGGTCTGTTAGGAACCAGGCCACACAGCAGGAGGTAAGCGGTGGGCTAGCTTCACCTGTATTTGCAGCTGCTCCCCAGCACCAGCATCACCACCTCAGCTTCACCTCAGATCATCAGGCATTAGATTCTTATCGGAGCACTGCTCCCTGGTGCCAAAAAGGTTGGAGACCGCTCGTCTGCAGGACCAAGATTAAGCTTGTGAAGTACCTAACACATGATACAAGGACCCAGCTTCCTACAAACATGCTGAAAAGCCGGGGCCCTAGAAGGGGGTGATGTGTAGTCGTGTCCCTTGGAGGGCAAACAAGTCAGATGCCACAGCTGCCTGACCCCCGCAGCCGAGCTCCCTGACCCCTCTGCCCTTCCAGTTCTCGGCTGCTTTCCCAGGGTGCGTTCTTGGACCGGGAGGTGGGCAGGGCTGCGCCATCATGGAGCGACAGCGACCCCGTGTGGCTAAAAGGTGCAGAGCAGGAGAAAACAACCTGCTGGCTGGGTCTTGGCGGGAGGACCTCCACCCACCCACCTACCCACCAACACTGCAGGGAGGCGCTCCTCACTCCACCTACAAAGGATATACTTCCGACGTTGACAGTCAAGGTCCTGAGTGGTCATTCCAGCTTTCCTGCTGTAGTTCTCAGCCTCTCCTACCTCTTTCTCCCACCCGCTGCTCCAAGACAGCCATCCCACCCTGACTTGTCACATGTCAGTGCCCACTGTGGGCTGGGCGCTATGCAGGAGTCTTTATAGACATTATTTAATTTCATCCTCATTACCCTAGGAGAAAGTATTATCATTTCCATGTTGCAAATGTGGGCCATGAGGCTCAGAAGAAATAAGTGCCCAAGGTCACTCGGCTAGGAAGCAACAGTCAGGATTCAAACCCAGGACTCCAGATCCATCCAGGTCACACACAGCACAGTGAGAAACCCATTCATGCAAATGCAGAGCTATGACGCAGGGGTGTAATGGGTGGAATTTCTGAGACCACTAAAGTAAGCAACTTTCTGGGGAGATCGGGGAAGGAGGGCTTCCTTCCCAGGAAAGGGGACATTTGAGCTGGCTTTGCAAGATTCGAAGAATTTTCCAAGACAAAGAAGGCAGGAAGGGCATTTTGGGTGGTAGTAACAGCACAAGTAAGCAGAGTAAGGAGGTTAGCAGAACGGTGTGTGTTTGGGGACCAGCAAGGACCCACTTTGGCCGAAGTGTGGATGTAGGAAGGGAGCAATAAGAGATAAATTGGACAGGCCAATGGGGCCCTGGTAAAGTGTCTGAACATAGAAATGGAGGTTTGAACAATGACAGAGGCTCTTGGGCCAACAGTGCTGTGTGTTCGGGGACAGTTGACATGTAAGATCCCTGAAAATCCCATTCCTCTCTTGGGGGCATCTCTTCCTCAGCTGTACTCAGCATAAGGAGTGGAACTGATGACCTTTATGTCTCTCCCTCCCCACACAGAACTACTATCCAGGTCCTGGAAATTATGGCGAGAAAGGCAATCCGTACACAAAGCTGGAGGAGAGCGCCTGGAACCGGTCTCATTCCGAGGGACTCATGTGCAGGATGACCAACAAGCCGCTCCCCTTGGCTCATCAGGTATCCCCCTCACCTGACCAGGGGTGGCTGCCTTCAGGCACAGTCCTGCGGGGCAGACTTCCAAAGCAGATGAAGAAACCAAGACCCTGCAGGTCGGTGGGCCTGCTTTCGCAGCCCTCCTGCAGACACTGGCATCTGTGCTCCGTTCTAGGGGAGTGGTCTGGCACCATGCACCTACACCTTGAAAAGTGACATGGAGGCAAACCTGGGCCGATCCATGGGCACCCGCGGCTTCTATGACATTTTCTCTGGTGATCGAAACAAGCCTACTTATGGACATTACTCTGTGCAGGTGGGTACCCAGCGGGGTGTGGGGGTGCATTCCCTAGCAGGATGACAGACTTCACCACCACCACCAGGAACGCCACCCTGTGTGCCATACTCTGCTCACACTTCACCCTCACAGCAAGGGTGAGATATGGCGCCCTGTGTCGGATCAGGAAACTTGAGGCTGTCCACACTGCTGGTAAGGCAGAGTCACAATCTGAACCCCAGCGAGGCCGTCTGATTTCACCGTCAGTCCTCTGTCCTCTGCACTGGCATGAACCGCAGAGGAAGCGCAGGTGGCCACGATGCCAGGACTGCATGGGAAACTGTCCGCAAAGCCTGCAGGGACCTTGACAGCTCAGATCTGGAAGTCCTTCTGTTTTGGACACACTTCCCGGGCATCGCAGATCCAGCTAAGCTGGCTGGGTTAGTGTCATGCTGTTAACAAGGCAGAGAACTGCAGGGCCGGGAGGGGATACTTAAGTAGAATTTTAGCTTGACCCCGCTTTTCCTGCACCAATGGAGTTTCTGTTGTGTGATCCATAGCACCCTGTGCTTTGCTTTCTTCATGCTCAGAGCAACTGGACTTAAGTATTTGTGTAATTACCTGTTTATTTTGTCTCCTTTGTGCATTCTTTCAGTGTATGTGTTTACTCCAGGTAATAGTCTGGGTGCAGGGGAAACCTGCCCCTAGGGTACTTACATTCTAATGGAAAAAGAAACACAGAGGTAAGTAAAAAACAATACAGAGTGTTAACAGGTGGTGAGGGCTATGGTGAAGTGCGTTAGGAGCACTAGGAAGCCGGTAAAATATTGAATTCTTTTGGACTGGTTGTTAAATAGCCACTGAACTGAGCTCTGTCACCTGATGCCAGCTCCCCTGAGCCTCCCAGACCTTTCCATGAGCAGCTTCTAAGGTGGTGCAGCCCGGCACAGCGGGAGCCTTGGGACCCTCATCAGGCTCTACAGCCTATGTCCATTCTGATTGGTTAGTCAGTGCCCAGGCGACACGATAACATTTTTTATTATCTAAAAAGTAATAGATTTGAATTTTTAGAGAAGTTTTAGGTTCACAGCAAAATTTAGCAGAAAGAAGAGAGTTTCCGTGTACCTTCCGTGCCCTTTACATGTACGGCTTCTTCCACCGTCAACATCCTGCCCCAGAGCGGGGTGCATTTATTACGACTGTAAACCTGCATTGACACGTCATCATCATACCTTAGGGTTCACTCTTGGTGTTCTACATTCTGTGGATTTGAACAAAGGTATAATGACATGTACCCACCATTATAATATCATACAGAGTAGTTTCACCGCTCTAAAAGTCTTCTGTGTTCTCCCATTTTTTAAGTATTTGGATCGTCGCTCCTGCTTAGAACAGTGCCCGGTTCAGTAAACGTTCAGGAAGTGAGTGAAAGAAAGAAGGAATGGATAAACTTAAGCTGGGTTGTAGGGTGTGTCACACGGGGTGCTAGAAGACCGTCAGACTAGCCTCCGGCTGAGGGCTGCGTCTCTCCCACCCGGCTGGGCCCACGGGCTGTGGGACGTCCCCAGGCAGTGTGGAGAGCGATGCCTCATTGTGTGGCCACCTGCTTTTGTCTGATTGCTGCTGAGGGTCCAAAAGAGGGGCCCTTGATTTTCCTGGCATAACAGACACATTTGTTTCCCCCTCTCTGTTTCTCAGAAAATAAAGCCCAGGGAATTGATGAATTTCAAGAGCTTCACGGAAGAACTTAACTCACGTCACAATAAGAAGCGTGGGGTGTTTTCACAAGTTTCCCGCAACCCGAAAACCCCTACAGAGAGGATTTACTGGGCCACCCTCAGCCAGTGTCCCCGAAAACTAGTTAGTGTCTCCCCAAGGCCTTCCTTCCTCTCTTGGATGGTGGCTTTCCTGCGGGGCCGGGTGGGGTGCTGGTGGCTATTTCCGGGGGCAGGGGGAAGCTCAGCAGGTGGGTGTCAGCCCCACCTGCTTTCCAGTCCTGCTCTTGCACTTACCAGTTACGTTGGGTGGGTCTCTCTCACTCTGAGCCTTGGTTTGCACACTTGTCCTAGGGCCATATCCAGGTGGCTGCAAGGGTTAAATGAGGTTGAGTACTGGAGCCCACCGCATGGAGCCTGGTACCCAGAAGTGCCCAGCCAGCGTTGACCTCCACCCTGCCCCTCCACCTCCCAGAGAGAGGACAAGGGAGGGCACTGGGGTGGGGCAGAGTGTGATTACAAGCTCTACCCTGGCAGAGGGGCTGCACACCTATTTGGGCCAAGGGAGCGGTGGACTCTCTTTTTGGAAGGCAGCAGCCAGTCATCTGAGTAGGCTCTGGATTTTACCGGGGCCCTCCAAGCAGAGTCTCCCTCGCCACCCCCAGAGAGAGAACTGCTAAGGGCTTGGGGAGGAGTGGGGTTCTGGGAGAAGGAAAAGGGGTACCCCCATTTCCTGAATGCTTGCTCTGGGCCAGGTAGCTGCCATCCCCACCCATCCCCATGGAGGGATTACCATTTACATTTCACAAAAGGAACCCGAGCCCCAGAGAAAGCAAGGGATTTGCCCAGGCTGCCCCAGCAATGGTGAGGAGTGAGATTGGAACCCAGCTCATCTAGCTCTAAGGTCTGAGTGGCTTCTGCGCCCCCAGGCTGGAGCCTAGAACATCTCTCTGGACCCTGCCAAGCTGTGAGGGTCCTTGGGAACCTGGACAGAAGTGTCAGGCTAGTGGGTGGGGTTCAGAATAGGTGTCAGGGGTTATGAGGGCAACACAGGGCCCCCACACTCCTGAAGGATGGGCTCCTTGTGAGTTAGGAGGTGGCTGGGTACCTTCCACCATCCTTGGCTCAAGGCCTAGTGCCACCAGTTGGGTAATGTCAGCTGCCAGGAGCCCTTACCTGCTTGGGCTCCAGGCTGACCACTGCCAGACCTGGCCAGCTTTCAGCCTTCATTCCTTACCCCAGGCCACGTCTGGTCCCGGTATGTGGCTTCCTTCAGAGAAGGAATGCAGAAACGTCAACCAGCC